AAAGTGTTTTTTTTAGTAGTGACTGTAGGTGGAAACATAGATGGAACCTGAGGAGAAGCTCCGTCGTGAGGGATATCGTCCGCCGTCTGGAAAATGGGTGACAAGTAGGTGAAAATTGAAGAAAAATGGAGAAAAGATGATAAACTTGGAAAAAGTCAACCCTAGGAGAGAGAAAATGGGAGAAAAAATCAAAACCCAAGAAAGTTCACGAAACCCGAAAGAAACTTGAAAGGAACAAGCCTAAAGTGGTGAAAATGAAAATGAAAAAAAAAATAAAAAATGATGAAATCAAAATCTGATCGGTTCAAAATGTAGAGAATCAAGAGGGTTTTATGAAAAAAAATGTGTGTGGGGTGTTGGAAAAAGCGTGTAAAGTGCAAATCTAGAGAGAAGATACACCTAGAGAGAGAAAGAGAGAATTTTCGGGCTTGGAGAAGTGAGGAAATGAAGCCTTGAGATTTATACTTAAAGACCCTATCCAAAAAGACTTATTTGCCCCGAAGCTGCCACGGGTGGCCAGTGGCTCTCAGTTGGGTCTTGGTGTTGTTCTGTGCTTCTTCTTCCAGAGTAGTGTATGGAAGGTTTTGTCTTAAAAGCTTGCAGCTGCTTTCCAGTGTGTGAACATGTCCCACTAGCCACTGTGAACGAGCTGTATCCTTTTTGAGTATGTTGCAATTCCTTCGAGAGGTAAATCGGAGGTTGTCACTGGATATCGTTTTATTCATTTTGTCAAATTACGTCTTTGTTCTCTTCCGCTGCATAGAATGTGCATTTTCACCTATACGTATGATGCACGCGTGTCTTGCATCATTTATGATTTGTGCATAGAATATGCTGTCAGTTTTGCATTATATGCTCTTATTTTATGCATAGAATATGCTTTTGTTTCTTGTATAGAACATGTCTTCAAATCAACATCCTATGTCGGTTGTTTATCTTGCATAGAACATGCGTTGTTACTGTATTGATTTGTAATCGTGTTCACTTTGTGCATCTATCGCACACGTTCACTTTGCACATCTATCGCATTTGTTCATTTTGTGCATCTATCGCGCACCTCTCTGTTTTATCTCGGGACGTGTGAAGTGCGAGCCCGAGTGGTTTCTCTTGTTTCTCGGGACGCGTGAAACGTAACCCTAAGCATGTTTTATCTCGAGACGTGTGAAGCGCGAGCCCGAGCGGTTTCTCTTGTTTCCCAGGACGCGTGAAGCGCAGCCCTGGGAGTGTTTTATCTCGGGATGCATGAAGCGCGAGCCCAAGTGGTTTCTCTTGTTTCTTAGGACGTGTGAAGCGCAACCCTGGACGTGTTTGATCTCAGGATGCGTGAAGCGCGAGCCCGAGTGGTTTCTCTTGGTTAAAGGCTTTGAAGTCTTTGAAACCCAAACCCCCTTCCAATTTAGGGGTTGTCAAATTGTCCCAAGAAGCCCAATCGATGCCTCTATTCTTAGGGTCCTCTTTCCACTAATAGTTCCTTATATATGAGTTAAGCTTATCACAAAAGCATTGGGGTAGCTCAAAGCATGCCATAGCATAGAAAGAGATTACTTGAACCACGACCTTGATCAACGTTTATTTCCCTACTTGGGATAGTAACTTTAGCTTCCATCATTGCATCTTAGAAAAGGCCTTTTCAAGCAAGAAAGCATAGGCTATTGACGTTGATCTTCTCTACGAAGAAGGCAGGCCCAGATACCTAGCCTTGGGATTTGCTTGAGAATGCCCAAAGTAGAACAAATAGATTGGTGGAGGGTCACTACAGCATTAGCTGAAGACAGAACCCTGGATTTATCAAAATTGAGAACTTCGCTTGAAGTTTGGCTGTACACATTCAGAATATCCAACATGTTGTGGCACTCAGATTGGGTGGCTCTGAAGAATAAAATCACATCATCTACGAAGAAACAATGTGACAAAACAGGACAGGTTTTCCTCATAACCAAGGCTGAAATGACACTGGACTGAATGCCTTGGGAAATGAGATTGGACAACACATCAGTGACTAGAAGAAAGAGATATGGTAAAGAGTGGTGATTTAAAGTACTAAATTTGAAATTCTAAAAACACCAGTAATGAAGTGGCAATGTAAAGAAAAAAAAATAAAACAAAACAAAGGTCAAACTATCACATCAGTGGTGGAATCCACATGATGTCACATCATTAGTAGTGCATTAGTGGTGCTAAATTAGTGATACTCCCTCCGTCCCAAAATATTAGTCCCTTATTCCATTTTTCATTGTCCCAAAATATTAGTCCCTCTTCAAAAATCAAGTACAAAAATAATATAAATTTCCTATTTTACCCTTCTTTTAAATTAATAAACAACATAAAAAGTACAATTATGCATTGATATTCCCAAAAAATGTAATATCAAAAGGATAATTTTGGAAAATTAACTTTTTTTCAAATACAATAATTGTACTACCAAAAAAAGTTGGATTCCCTAAAAAGGACCATTATTTTAGGACGGAAGGAGTATGAAACATTTTTCTATGGTAAAGGGGATCCCCTGCCACAACCCACAAGGAGTGAAGGTTGTACGATGCATACCATTCACAACTAAGGCTATGTTTGGGGAAGCAAGTTTGGGCTAAAATAGCCATATATTACAAAATTAGCTATTTTAGTTATATAAGACAAAATGCCACATCCAACTCACAATCATTTCATTTTTTCTCTCACAAAAATTAAAAAAGTCAAAAAGTCTATTCTAAACGAGGCTTTTTAGCTCAGGCTAAAATAACTAAAAAGCTAGAAAGTCAACTCACATTCTGAATGAAGCCTTAGAACTTCACTGTAGTGACACATTCCATTACCAAGAGGGTTTGGTGTTTTTGATGTTGATGCTCTAATTAGAAATGAGCTAAAAAAAAATAAGGTAAATTATAATGAGATTTATTAAAAGTACAACTTTTTTTTTTTTTTTTTGTGATTTTGATAAGTATGTCCTGCTCCTTGAAATTTTTTATTCATAACAAATGACCCATTTTATTAATAAATCATTAAGTTTATTAACAATTTTTAATGATATTAGAAGTTTATTTTAATTAATAATTCAACTAATTTATTGTTGTATACGAGAGCAATAAGAAATTTTATTTTTTTAGTTAGTTCTATTAAATAAAGATTCTGCCAAACGGATAATTACAATTTTTTAAATCACAAAAGACAATCCTTATTTTAAGCAAATCTCAGATAGTATATTTATAATTTACCCAAAAAAATTTAACAAACTATAAAAGCATTCAAAAATTTAACACGTTATTTAATTTTTTAATCTTAGTTTATTTTTCTAGTTTGTTAATTTACCGCATCGTATGAATGAATCGAATATGTTTGATAGATCATTTGGGTATTGAACGCTTTAATATTAGAATATCGTTTGTGGAAGGTTTCAATATGGTTGAACCAAATCTTTTAGTTTTGTCTTGATTTATGGATCTCATTTTTACAAATTTTTAAAAATAATTTCACAACTTAGAATTTGTGAAATTTCTATATAATGTTTATACATACGTGGTAGAATTTTCAAATCCGAAAAATCTCAAGTTAATTATATAGGATTCTTAAATTGAATAGTACTCAGATTGATTGTTGAAAAGAATTTCGCATTGAAAGGCTGCGTTTGGTTCTCTTTTAGAATTATAATTCCAATAAAAAAAATTAAAATTCTTTTCAAAATTCATAACTAAACACACAACTCAAAACTACTCAAAACTCAATTCAAAAATTACTTTCAAAACTTATAACCAAACACACAACTTAAATTTTTTTCAAAACTCAAAACCAAATTCTTTTCAAAAATTTATTTTAAAAAAAAATTTCAAAAAAATATTTCTTATTTTATTTTTGAAAATTATTTTTAAAATCATGATTTGAGTGTGAAGTTGTATTTTGAGTTGAGTTTTGAAAAGAGAAAATTTGTTTGGTTATGAATTTTGAAAAAAAATTTGAATTGTATTTTGAAATTTATTTTTTTAAATATTTAAAATTTTCTTAATTTCATTTTTTAAGATAAATATTTTATATTTTAAATATTTATTTATTTATTTTAACGTGTACTGTATTTCATACATTTGTGTGTTGTATTTTTTAAATATTTGAATATATTTTTTAAATATGAAAAAAAATTAAAATATTTATTTTTTATTTTAAATATATAATTTTTTATTTTAAATATTTTTATTTTATTTTATAAGTATATTTTTAAATATTTTAATTTTTTTGTTATATATTTGATTACTATTTAAATGTAAATTTTTTAAAATAATGTAAAGTTTCAAATTATGTATTTAGTTATGAATTTTTAAAAAATATATTTATTTACAACTCAAACGATGTTAAGTCCATTGGGTACACTTTTCAGATTAAAAGCATGAATGATTAATTTTATAAAATTCTTTGTGTTATTATTTTTCTAATGTTTTGTTTAAAGTTGCCTACAAGTACACTAGGAAGTTTCCTATATCCGTCCAAATTGTATAGGGGTCACATGGTGGAGAGGACATGAAAAGTTGGATGAATTTTGTACATTCTATCTGTAACGATGCCAAAATGCATATAAAGAATTATTTTTATTTAATTATGGATTAATATATTTTAATTTAATTATATGTATTTGAATTGAAAAATTATTTGTTGAGTTACGACTTTAAAATTGAAATTGTCGACCTTTATGGGTTCAGAAATCAAAATTAAATACCAACATATGTTAATGGGAATTTTTAGAGTTATTTGGGAAAATTAATTGAAAATTCGATTTCGTCTGATTAGTTAAGGTGTGTTTGGCTGGTTAATTTTGCACTGTAAATTGAAGGCCTTAGAGGCTTCAGAAACCAGAACGGAGTACATAGTTATGATCAGCATAATTTTTAGAGTCATTTGAGAAATTTAATTAGAATTCGATTTTGTGCGATTCGTAAGGACGCGTTTGGCCCTCCCTATTATGATACGCTTATGTGTGTGTGTATATATATATAGATATGCCATATGAGTTGTGGAACTCATCACCTTGGGCCAAAAATATTTAAGAGAGAGGGGAAGAGAACCGTGAGAAAGAGAGAGAGAGGGGGAGAGAGTTCTAGAGAGAACTCAAAGAGAAGAAGGGAGAGAGCAGGAATAAAAGAGAAAATCAAAGAGTTGGCTTGAATTTATCATGGTTATGCAAGAACAAGTGATGGTAAAGGCTTAAGGTAAGATTCTCTCTCTCAATATTTGAAGATCATAAGCTAAAGAGTGAGCTTTGAACCCCAAACCATGGCTACTTTATGCTTTTGTGTTCTAATTCTTAATCTTGTTCTTGTGCTTGGGAAATTGAGTAGTATTTTGAAGTTATGATTTTTGATGAAAGCTAATGATGTGAAATTTATCATGTATTAAAGGGTTTTGGGCTTTGATTTACATGAATTTGAAATTTAATTTTGAAAATGAAAGGTTCTAAATCACAAAGCCATTTTCGGATTGGTTTTTGCCCAGAGCCGCACGTGCGGTGGGTCTTCCCGCACGTACGGCAGTCCATTTCCAACACCAAAGTTGATTCTGCTAAAAAGCACGTGGTCTTGCACGTGTGGGATAGCTCTGTTTCAGCCAACTTCAAATAAGCATATCTATTACATCTAGACTCCGTTTTGAGTGATTCTTGAGCCTAAATTCAAGCCCCGGAAGTCTAGTTTCCAATGGTGGTGGCCTCACCCTCAAATTCTTAGTACACAAGTAGATATGCCTAAACTAGTGGAAGTTGTTCACTTTCTGTCTACCGATTTTATACCATTCCTGCATCTAAACCATTTTCCTATCGATTCTTCCTATTTTCTGAGACATGGATTTTGATCTATGGAGGACTAATGAGTTTAGAACCAATATGACTAATTGATTAAAGAACAAAGAAAGGGATCGGGTATGTTCTTATGTTATACTATGTGCATTGTGTTTGTATGTCAAGACGAGGACATCGTCCCATTGTTACCAGAAGCCCAGCACTGTGAGTAATAGTAGTGTAACGATATGTTTTATTTGCCTCTTGTTACTATGATTTACATATCGTTGTTTGAGAATGACATAAACTATTGATAGTGTGCTTTGATTGAACTAATGGACATGACTGAACAATGGCATTGATATCGACCTAAGGCTCTTGTTACTATGATTTATATATCGTTGTTTGAGAATGACATAAACTATTAATAGTGTGCTTTGATTGAACTAATGGACATGACTGAACAATGGCATTGATATGGACCTAAGGTCGTTCTATCCCTACTAATAGAAGTGGGCCCGAGGCCGTTATGATTTGAACTGTTTATGATTCATGGCCCTAAGGCCGAGGGAGATGGAGACATGTCGATGTTCCATTTACCTTATAATGATATGAATTGTACATGAGTATTGGCTCTACGCCCAGTGGGATGGAGACATGCCGATGTTCCATCTTCCCTATATTGCTCTGGACAGCTCATGTTGGGCCTGAGGTCGTTCTGTATTGCTTGTGGGCCTGAGGCCGTTCTGAAATATGGTATGGATAAGACTTGTTTATGGTTGGGTTGTTATATGTATATTTATATGTTTATATTCTCTAAGGCTATGCTCAATCACCTATCCTTCTTACATTGCTATTATTCACTGAGCCTTGCTCCCACCGCTTTTATGTATATTTATGTAGGTGAGCCACCGGGGGACCAACACTAGAGTTTTATTGAGGTTCACCTGTCTGTCAAGCGGCTAAGGTTACGCCTCTGTGTTGAGGCTTAAATGTTGTATTGGAGAATTATGTAATTCATTGAGTTCTACGTAAGTGTGTGTGAGATTTACATATAAATTCTGTGATTGAACATGTAAATATGGAAGTGTATTTAAATGCTTAAATCTATTTAAGCCATCATGTATGCACAAGCTCAATGGATGTTATTTTTATATTGATATTTGCTTCCGCTTAAGGCCCCCTATTTGAATAAGTATTTGTAATTTTTTGTTTTGAGGCCTATGTACAAGTCGGTCATGGACCAAACTTTTAGGGACGGGTTTGGGTCGTGACACTATCAGTTCAGAAGTTTTACTTAAAAAATTATAAAAAAATATTAAATGTGATTTAGATTTATTAATATACACATCTAGCAACAAATCAATTTAATTTTATCCACATTTTGCATATGTGGACTAAAATCTCACCTTTCATAGATTATTGTTTTGTATATAATTTTGAATAAATTATAAATAGATAAGGTAATCACAAAATAATTAGACAACAAAATAAATGCTAAAGAAAAGTGCAATTTCCTCTGTAATCTAAGGATTTAGTTTGTAAGACTTTACCTTTCTTGGTCACTAGAGTTTTGACACATGGCTAGGCACAAATTGCCATAAAATTGAGGGTCTCCAAATGTGCATTTGACTTACATTTAGGTGGAATTTCATTACATTTTATGTGCAGGGATAGCAGCCCCTTGTCTCATTGTTATCTTATTAGAAAATGTGACGCCTCATTTTCCCCAGGTGATGCCCTCCTTAGTTGTTTCCTCAACTATTGGTTATTTATTGCTTGCTTTATATATATTATGACTCAACTCTTCCATACATGAACTTGCACATATTTTGAGTCTCACATCTTGTAGAAATTATAATCATTTTGGAAGAGCTCTCTACCTCCTCTTTGCCTTTCCATCTCATCTTCATCTCTTTCAATTTTTTTAAGGCTTTAAAGGTATGGATATTCTTCAGTTATTACTTTAGAAGCATGTTAATGTTAGGGCTTTATTTTTACAAGATGTTGATGTTGTTATTTGGAAAAAGTCAGAAATTTCACTTAAAAAGAACCTAATATTTGTCTTGTATTGCCAACCTTGAAGATTGCGATTTTTTCTCAACAGGCCAATTTTGGATTATGAATGAATGTCTTCCCTCCCTCAAGTGCCTGTTTAAATGCAGTACAAATGTTAAATTTTTATACAAACTTATAATCTCTTGATGTCTGCTTAAAGGCTTTCTCCTAGCCTAGTTTTTTTTTTTTTTGTTTTTTTTAAATCGGTATCTGGCCATTTTTCCGATTAATCTGGAATTAATCCCACCGTCCATTTGCGGGATCCAATTAAAGTCAGGGCGAAATCCCGGTATGGATTAGCCCCAAAATTGTTCGCAATTAGGAGGTTTTGTACCACTCGGCCATCCCCTTGATGTGGTTTTGAAATCCTTTCTAGTTGCTACCTTGGTTGAATTGTTTTCCTTCTAATGGTTTATCCACATGCATATGGGATAGAAATTTTGTCTTTCAGGTTTTATCCCTCAATTGTTGTGGATTGTAAAAGGAAATATGCACCCTTGGGGTTTATGGGAGTGGATTTTCATCAAAAGGCAGTTGAGGTCCCCTCATTTGTCTTAGTTCATAAAGAAAGCCAGCTACATTTTAACTATTTTCTAGGTTTTGGATGCATATAATTTGTTGCTAATAGTGACAAAACAATGCCTTAATTTCTTTTGCATATATTATATTATTTGTCAAAGATTCATGGACTAATTTTGAAGAGATGTTTCAAATTGTTGGATTGTTTGATGTACAATGTGGGACCATTTCCGAATAGCTTAAGCTTTTGAGATTAGTGATCTAACAATGTATCAGAGTTTTGATTTTGGGAGCACTTAAGTTCAAATCTCTCAGTTTAAATTTGGTCCCGTCGCCATGTGCAAGACAGAGTTGCACATGAGAGAGGATATTGGAGTACTTGATATACAATGAGCTCATTTCGTAACAGTCTAAACTTTTGGGAATAGTGGTGATCTAAGACAAAGTTGCATCTCATCACAACTATTATACATAATATTTACATCTTCCAATATAATGTATGTTTACAATTTGTTCATATAGTGAAATTCAGCATTGTATGTTCTTTACCTCTTTAATTGGCCCTTGCAGTTGCCACTGTGAGAATATGTGTTCTCCTAGGATTAAGAATAAGTGTCCTATATCTATTAGACTTCTATATATCTCAGTAATGTATTCATGTAAAATTAGGAGTTAGTAGTACTCTATATAAATGATGTATGTATTCTTTGTTCAATTAATTCAAGACTAATATACAGTTTTATTCAGAAAACTTACATTCCATTTACACTTCACTGCAGACTAACATGTCCTTTTTTCACTGAGAGCTAGCACCAATACAAACCCAAAAACTGACCTCATAAAAAGGATAAAAGAATGGCAGATGTCACTGCAGAAGTGGTACACAATGGTGGATGTCACTGCAGAAGCGTAAGATGGCGAGTCCAATCACCCCCTAGTGTGGTAGCTTGGCAATGCAACTGCTCTGACTGCTCCATGAGAGGAAACACTCACTTCATTGTCCCTTTGGGAAAGTTTGAGCTTCTGGGAGACTCCAAACAGTTCCTCACAACGTACACCTTTGGCACTCATAAAGCGAAACACACATTCTGTAAGGTTTGTGGCATAACTTCATTTTATACTCCACGGTCAAATCCAGATGGGGTTTCTGTTACATTTAGGTGTGTTGACCCTGGAACACTAACCCATGTCGAGATTAAGCACTTTGATGGGAGGAATTGGGAGAAGTCATACCATCAAACTGGAATTGCTTCATGTTCACATCCTTCCAAAAAAGCAAAAATGATTTCATAGAATTCTTTTTTCTTTTTTTGTTTTTTGTTTTTTGTTTTTTGTTTTTTGTTTTTGCAGACATTGGTATCTTGCCTGCAGTGTGAATGTTGAGTATGTATGGTAAGAGATGGTTTTTATGAAAGAAGAAACTGGTATTAATATAGAGAATAATTTTTTCTGTCATCAAATGTGCCTTTGTTGCCTAGTTTGATTTCTTGTCAAGTCTTCTCTTAATTCCAACCAATAACCATTTCATATAATTTATATCATGTACCTGGTATTAATTCTGGAAAAATACTTATTTTACTAATTGTGTTTGTTTTTGAGCACATGTTCTGTCAGTGATTTATTTAGTCTAATATAGGTTTTGGGGGGGAAATACACAGAAGTTGCTGCATTCAATGGAGAAAGTTTGGAAATTATTTGAGTGAAATTTTGGAATCATATCATAAGGGGATATTCTATTCTCAAATCTCTTTGTGCTCTATTCTTGATCTCATATCTTTTTGTGCTATTGTCTCAATGTACTTTTAATTGTTGAATTCTATTTCAAAATTTACTTATCTTGAGAATTTCATATAATTCAATGATTGGGGATAGAATCCTTGACATTGAAAAATTATTGATTTTGTGTATTCTCATAAAAAAAAAAATGGAGTTATTACATATTGGGGCCCAAATAGAAATGATTTTTATTTTTGTTTTTTATGGAAGTCTTATAACTGCATGGTTGGATCATACTTCACTTATTGAATTCAAAACACCCCCCAAAAATAAAATTAAAAAAATTGAAAAAAAAATGGTGGTGTTATTATCTCTTTAATCGTCACTGATTTCATCAATCAGCATAAAAGTGTGACCTGCTCATGGCACCTCAAAAAATGATAATCGGTCTCGCTCACTTTTTTTCTTTTTTCTTTTTAAATTATGCATGTCATTTGTAAAACAAATAAAAATTGAGTTTATTTTTTATGTTTTAGTAAATATTTTTAAAATTTTAAGTAATTTTGCTACGTTTTTAAATGTACATTACTTAGATGTATTTAAATAGTGAAATATTTGTGAAAAATATTTTAAAAAATTAATAAATATACAGAAATAAGAAAAATGTATTGAATTTTTATATTTTTTTATTTTTTGGTATTTAGTGTATTTTTTAAAAAAAAATTTCACAAATATTATACTTTTTAAGTATATTTATTTTAGGTGTGTTTAAAAATTAAAAAAAAAATGTTTAAAATATTTATTCATTGAAAACATTTAAATATAGAAAATAAAAAAGTAAAATTTTTTTGAAAATCAAAACCAAATAAACTGATGACATCCTACGTCGGTTGCGGATGATATCTATAATAGACACAAAACGATGCATGACACCTTCATTATAAAGGAATTTTTTAGATTGGAGTTGAAAGATACATACTCACAATAAGACTGGTTATTAGGAATTTTGTATTTTGGACAAAATGGTAGAAGTTTTATTGATTCCAAATAATAAAGGCTCGTCTCACAACATGATATTTTAGTTTAGAGAGGCACTACATTTCCTAATATAGCACTCCTATTTTGATTCTTAATGAAATGGAAGAGAGAAAATAGAGAGGAGGGAAAAGAAGTGTGGGTCCACCCTTTCACATGATCTATTCCATGTCACTGGCAATGGATTAAGAATGTCAAATTAGTGCTCTCAAGTATTTTTTTTTTTTTAATTTAAAAGTTAAAAAGTCATTAAAAAAATAAAAAAATAAAAAATGCTCAAAAGTCAAAGATTCTTTCTATTCATTCTACTTTTTGCATTTTTGTTTTTTTTTTTTTTTGGTAAAAAATTAAAAAGTCATTTCAAATTAATTTTTTTCGTCTCATTTTTAATTAAAAAAAATTAAAAAAATCACTAAAACAGTTTGTTCCAAATGAGGCCAAGCCAAGAAGAACAGATCATGCATCTTTTTTTGCAAAGGAATAAGTTTGGGGACCCAGACTTGTAGTGATGTGTGATTGAAATTAAATTTGTATAACGTGGGGTCCATGTATAGTGAAAAATCTAGATTTGTTGTAGAAAACTCTTTTAGAAAATCTAGATGCATCCCATTTAACGTAATTATCGATTTAGGCAATTTAATTAAAAATTAAACAACCATGATCAATGTAAATATGAGAGAGTAAGAGAAAATCAATCCACGGTACAAAATATTTTTTATGTGGAAAAATCATAATTGGAATCTACCATCTTGTGATAAAAAAATCACGGGCCCTCAGCCAGACGAATAATCCACTATGCAAAAAAGGTAGTACAAGAGATATCTTACAAAGGTCAATCTTGGCTTAATGAGTCCGCTTAACGAGTCCACTTAATGGCACACGTCTTTACTCACTCTACAAGTACCTCCATGACCTCCACTGGATATCTGCCAGGGTTGTCAAATCGCTACGACGCCAATGACTTCGGAATCCATCGAAGCCTACAATCTTGGAATCCACTAAGAAGGTTCACTTTTGGAAAGGTGTGAAGAACTTGTTACAAAAACTTGATGATTAGCTTTGAGCTCCTATGGCTAATGTATCATTAAGTAAATGAGAGTTGCACGAAATCCTCACTACAAGCTCACTCTCGAAAATAAAACTCTCTCAATATAATCTCTCTTACAAATAAACTCTCTCAAAAGTATATTTCTCTCAAAATTAAACTCCTTGTGATTTTTGCAATGTTGAGCTCTAGAGAGGTTTTGGAGAGAGAGAAAATATACTAGAGAGATGCCAAAATTCTCTTGGAGAGGTGCCTCAACAAATGAGCAAGGGGTCCTTTAAATAGACTTGAGGCAGGGCAAGTTCACGGGCGCAGACATATTGTTCATGGGTTGCAGAGAAAAATACTAAAAGTGTGATTTTCGACATCTTCAAATCGCGGGCTGGTCGCGACCGCTATATGTCTCAGTCGCGGGTGCGATGGAAGATGTCGGGGGCGTGATGGCAGGACCTACACTTAGCGAGCGCAAGTGTAGTGATCGCTGGCGCGACCTATGCATGCCTCAGCAGCTTTTGAGGACTTTTGTTCCGTGTATTGCTCCATATCTTCTTGCACATTTTTAGCCACTTTTTGACAACCTTTTCTCCCAACAAAGACCCTTCGTTTAGGCTAGAAACATTGTCTCCCACATGCTTAATTGCTAACAAAAACATCCACAAAGATTTGTTTATTTTAGACTTAAGAGAATAGAGCCAAAACACTTTAGCCCACTTTCTTTGGCAACATTTTCCAACAAATCTTTGAGCCACGTCCTTGATCTGCAACTCTTTGAAACTTCCAACCATTATATCAAAAATCAAGAAGATAATGATTAATTATCAAATAAAATAATGACCAAAGAAATAAAAAAAAAAACACTATGAATCGATAATCATGATATTAAGTTTTGTCAAGAGAGGTATTTCCAAAACACAAATCATTAAATTGTTAGGATGAAAATCCTAACAATATCCCTCTTTGGCAATGCTAGGACAAAACTTCATAAACCATTGATGCACAAGATCTTTTGATTCAAACAAATGAGACAAAAATGAATAAACAGAAAATCATGATTTTGTCTTTGGAATGGGATTGCCAACTAGCATCACAATGCACAGAATTAGGATCGAAAATCTTAACAATTTCCTCCTTTGGCAATTCCATGACAAAATACAAAATACTCCCTTACACAAAAATATTAGTCGTGTGCAACAGTGTTTAGAAACCCGGACCAGACTGACTGGTCGGACTAGTTGGACCAGTGACCGGACCTTGTTCCGGTTCAAAAAACCCTTTAAACCCAAACATAGTTCAAAACCGATGTAAAATGAAAGAATTGGAAGAATTGTCGGTTCAACCGTAAAACCCAGCGACCCGGATTGGGTTTTAAGAACTGGTCGGTTTTGTTGAACATATAAAATCTCTCAAAAAATCCCAAATATTAGGGCTACATACACAGATTTGTGCCAAAAAAGAGGAAAGGTTTTTAGTTGCCCTCTCTCTCTTCTGGGTGTCGGTTAGCCTCTCTCACTCTCTCTATCTAGCAGCTAGATTCCGGCGAGCGGAGGACACAACTTCGGTGAAGATTTTGACCTTTGTTTCTCTATTTCTCTGCACTTCCAAGTTATTTTTATGGGCTGATTCATTTAGGTAATTCTTCATCATTCTCTTCCCTTCTCTGTTGCTCTGTTTTTGTCTCAGAGTCTCTTGTTTCACTTTCTTGCTGCTCTATTTCTTAAGCTGCTTAATGCATATTTTTATAGGTATTATCATGTCCAAACAAAACAAAAAGCATTGAGGCAAAGAAAAGTCAGTGATGAAATAGTAATACGACTAAATATTTAAAAAAATTCATGAATATTTTTTATAATAAATTTATGGTTTTATGGCTGTTAGTTAATGGTTTGGTGAACTAATTTTTTGATTATCTATTCTAGCACTCATCTTGCAAAAATAAATATATGTATACTCATCTTGCAAATATTTTGAAAATTCTATTATTATGTTAAATTTAATTATTTTTTTCCATTTTTATACTTATATTTTTAAATATATTTATGATGTAAATATGACATCACGGTTCGACCTCTTCGACTCGACGGTTAAACTGATGACTCATCCACCCGGTTCCTTTTCCGGTTTGCTCACCGGTCTGATTTTCAAAACATTGGTATGCAAAACAACACAATCTCTCTCCTTAAGCAAAATACTCTCCCTAAACGTAAGACCAATATTTATTTTTTTCACAAAATTTTCCTCTCCCCCTAAACACAAGGATGACACATTTGAAATTTGGACAAATTTGAAATGTCCCACTATTCTTCTTTTTTTCTTCATGAAATGGCCCAAACTAGCTCTGATACCATTGTTGGAAAGTGAGAAAGTGGTGTAAATCAATGTATGATTCACAAAGAGAGGAATTAATTGAATAAACAGTCATTTTATTTAATCACAAATAAATTATACAAAATAGAGCTATATCTCTATAAACTCTCAAACTCTCTACTCTCATAGAATTTTCCTTATTTGGAGATGCTATGTTGTAAACTCTTAAACTCTTTGCTCTCTACACTATGATTTTATTTTTAATTCATGGATACATGTAGGTCTAATTTTGATAATCCAATAGTGACTTCCAATTATTTTGAGTATTTTGGACACATCCGTACAGTCAAATTTTGCAAATTACATACAAAAAAATTTGCAAATTTTATTTGAA